TATCTCATCGAAAAGTACGACCGTACGTACCGAGCGCCTTTAGAGAGGGTTATACATTAGCTGCGTGGTTTATCCCATCCGGGCATCAAAGCAACGCAGAGACTGGTAGCTGAGAGGTTTGTCTGGCCTAGAATGGCTGCGGATGTTGCCAAGACCGTTCGTTTCAGCATCCCGTGCCAAAAAGCGAAATTGCAACGACACACAAAAGCTGCTCTAGGGAGCTACCACGACATTGATGACCACTTCCAACATATAAATGTTGATATAGTGGGACCGCTACCGACGTCCAACGGGTTCCGTTACTGCCTCACATGTATAGACAGGTTTTCAAGGTGGCCAGGGCAGTTCCTCTCAAGGAGATGACAGCGGAAAACGTAGCCAGCGCACTCATCAGCCGACTTAGGCCGACAGTTTGAGTCCGAAGTATTTCGCAGTTTGACGAGGATGTTAGGTGTAGTACACTTGCGTGCGACGCCACACCATCCACAGTCCAACGGAATGATCGAGCGTTGGCACCGCACGCTAAAGGCCGCGAGCAGGTGCGGGCCGAACGACGATTGGAGCTCCGCTTAACCACTTACATTGTTGGGAATGCGTACTTCCGTTAAGACGGACATAAACGCCAGTCCAGCTGAAATGCTCTACGGCAGACCAGGCAGATACCAGGCGAGTTTCTACACGAGAGAAAACGGCGATCCGGCCAAGCAGAATTTATGGAACAGCTGCGAGAAGCAATGAGTAAACTACCCATGACGAAACCTTCGCGCCACAGCGAAGCACAAACATATATACAACCAGCTTTAAAAGACTGTAAGTTCGTATTCGTTCGAATAGATCGAGTACGTCAACCTTTGGAGCCACACTATGTAGGTCCATACGCAGTTCTCGAAGCAGGAAAAATATTTCGTAATTAAGTTCGACAAAGATAAGTTAAAATTTCTATTGATCGCTTGAAGGCAGCATTTATTTTTAATCACGACGTCACGGCAACGGCAACAGCAACGGAAAGCTAGGAAGGTGAGAGAAGCACACAGAACACCGTGGACATAAACGAAGCAACGCATACAGCAGCAGCGGCAAATAATCGAAACGAGAATAATAGAAAGGACAATAAAAGCGAGATGAAGGAGGAGGCTGTCAGGTATACATCGGCAGGGTGACGGGTAAAAATCCCACTTCGGTATCGTTAGCCGGTAAGTAGCGGGGGGTATTGTGGTAAATTCGCCTCTTGTAACAATAATCGATAACATGAGTTAGTGAGATGTGTTATATCTGATGTTCTAGTTGTTTCTACTTCCTTTTCTCTATGATTTTTCGGTACACGGACACGTGTGTTGTACAAGCGAACCTTTTCCAATAAATTCTAAGTTAGTTATTTTAATATAAGAAACTATCCGGCGTTTTATTGCTAGGCGATACTCGACAGTCTTTAAATACACTCAAATTTTTTTGTTTATTTACGCATATTAAGAGAGGTAGCCGGTTTCCTCTTTTAATGTGTGCCAATTTGAGCACCGTGTAATAAAATTAAACACTGAGCAAAATTACACATAAAATGTTTAAAATATAGTAATTGTGAGCCCCTACGGTTTTTATTTGTGTGTATATTTTAAAGATCTCAATCAATTCAGATTCGTGTTGAAAAATAGATACTTTTCAGTAGTAGTTTTACATGCACTTTTTAGAGTGTACAGGTACAAATGTTACATATTAGTTACTATTTATTATACTTACTTTGCAAAAAATGTAATTTATAAATTTAAATTACAAGTGCTTGATATGAAAAATAAAAATATATATACATGTATTTCAAGTCCTTAGGATGGGTTAAATTATTAAGGGTATTCATCAAACTTTATAAATGCATTGTAAACCGTATAAACTTATAATTGTGTAAACCTTATAAATGAACTGTCAAAATTTGTATGGAAACTCGCTTACACATTTCTGATAAATTTATCCAGCGATTTCACTGAATAAACTTGATAAACTGAAGACAATGCAACTCTGTCGCAACTCCAGCTATGTTTTCTTAGGCAATAATCGGGATCCGCATACAAATTTTGCACGCAAATTCAACAACGATATGATCCTGATAGAGATCTGGTTCAATTATTATCCCGTCTGCTTGATAAAGTTATCGGTTTAGATGAATACCACTATTTTTTTTTTCTTTAAAATTTATGGTTTTCTTACAAATTATGAGATGGATACGTAAAAAAAGAAAATTGGATACATTTGGATACATTTTTGGCTAGCTCGGTGATACTCTTTCTTGAGACGGCGCGGCGACACTGCGCATGATTAGAAAAAGGTCTTTTCGAGGATAAAATATACATAATTATGTGTTGTAGTAAAGAACAAAATTAACGCTTGTGTTTTATAAACTGGAAAATTCAGATCGTAATTATAACACTGAATGGAGTTTTATTAAATGTAAGTTTAAAATTAAAAAAAAGTCCATTGTAAGATTATATTTTTATGACAACCATACATTTTTTGGATTTACCAAGCAAAATTCTAAATTTCCGAATATTAAATTAATTTAAAACAAAAAACAAGGTTTGTATAGCCATACAGACACCAATGCCTGCCAGCGCATCATCCCAGACAGTCCATTAAGCACACCCAAGTTTGAGTGATCTACAAGTTACTAGCGTTTACAGCATTTAACAGTTCATTATCATGTACGGTGTAATATAACAAGTTATACACTGAACTATGATAATATGTACTAGTATCTATAATAATAGACAATACTTTGCAATGTTCTTACAGTTTTGCAATTAGTTTCGGTCACTATTACACAGTCATGACTTGTGCCATTCTGCCATAGTACGGTTGTTGCTCCCTTTCATACCACAGTAATTTTGTATACAACTCTGAATCAACAAAATTCATGCTCCTCCTCCTTATCAACCCTCATCAGATTTCACCCCCGAGAAGTACTCAAAAAGGTTTGTTACTGTATTGTTACGATTATCCTTGAACCCTCGTCCGGATTTCCCAAATCTTCCGGTTCGTATCGCTGGATTGTTAAATAAAGGCTAACGATGACCAA